GAAAATCAATACCATACGGTGGATAGTTGGCTCGAGCCAATGATGCAATGTTATTATTATTCCCATTATCCACCAAAGAGTCACCAAATATAAAGTAACAAGGGGCTTGAGGAGCACAATTCACACTATTAATCAAAACCCACGATAGCAACAAAATTGCAATGAGCCCACACTTGGCCATTTTCTCAGCTTGGAGAAGAGAGAAGAGAGAAGAGAAGAGAGATGAAGAGAGAATTGAGAGGTGGAGAGAGTTAAGGAATGTAACTGAGTTTATATAGAAAGAGAGAGGCGGCTTTGGTTTTTGGTTGGGGTGGGGTTTTGAGCATTTAACGCTATACGCGGATGTAACGTGCGTTCATGTGGGACTTGAGACTTGAGACTTGAGACTTGAGAGAGCAAATACTTGGTCTACGTTTGAAATAGTAGGAGGAGAGTAATTAATATGAGTAAAAATGAAAAGAGAGGATTTCTCTTTTTGGTTGGTTGAATTAAAATTAAATGAGGAGGGTTAATGAAATTCTATATATCTGGTAGTTGTTCGGTTTGGAGATGCAATGAAATACCCTTAAAGTTCTCCCACACCGATTGTACTATAATATTCTAAAGTAATTGAATGGCTAGCTACTATTTGTTATCTTGCTTTTTTAGCCGTCTCATGTGTCACAGAAACTCCTATGCAAGAAAAATGTGAACTCATTACTTTCTTTATCCATCTAAAATTTCAAATTTAAGCCCCTACATTTTCCTTTCAGGGTGACACTAGGAGCACACCTCCAACCACACCCCCTCTCTCATTTGCTACAGTGCACCGCGCTCCACATGTGATTTTAGATTTTTAAAATCACATGTGGGGCCCGGTGCACTGTAGCAAATGAGAGAGGGGGTGTGATTGGAGGTGTGGTTGAAGGTATGCCCCTATCATTTTCCTTTCATTAAACATCCAAAAAAAGAAAGGAAAAAAAAAGGAGATCACTGCCATTAACTGTGCTAGCTCCAGTTTCCCGTCACGTGGTACAATATCAAAAATCATTTTCATGTCTGCTTGGATTAATTGGACGGCATGGAGAAGCTTTTAATTAACCAATGAAAGAAGGTTATCAAAACAAAGAGAGATGATGATGATGATGATGATGACAACACTTTAAAGGTTACAATAAATAAATAAATAAATAAGGCGCTCTTAACGCATATCACTGTCTAATAAAACACCTTAATGATAAGTCCGAACATCATCATTGGAGTTGGGCGCTGTCGGCTGCTCCCTAATTAAGCTGCTAATCCATTCATCGATCGATGATAAAAAAAAAGACCAACATTTCCCAAATAAGAGAAAAAGGAAACAAATGACATGTCTCTTATGAGAAAAAGGAAACAAATGATATCTGCTAATCCATAGTAATGCCTAACGGTTGGTCGACGCACGAATCCCAAGTCCGTTAAACCAACGGTTAATAAGTAGAAGAAGTGTACTTCTATATTAAAAAAAACGCATTCGTAGAAATATTTGGAAGAAAAAGGGATATTTAGCTGCAATACGAGCTTTTTTACTTTAGCAAAGTCAGTCCCCACCGGAGATTCAAAGAGTTCGAACACCTATTTCAAATGCGCATCACATTTTCGCGCGCGCAGCAAGGTTATGAAAATCCGCCAGAAGCAACCGGACGAATTGTATGTGCCGATCGCCATCTAACCAATAAGCCTGTGGGGTATTGAAGATCCGCAAGCTGTTTTAGCACAATGCCAACTAAATCTCGTCATCAATGCGCATACACAGAGCACCGTATAACTCTCCCCTGTAGGCCTAGGTCAGGCTGGGACTTACAATTTGCGCTCAGGATCTTAAAAAACTGTGGCTGATCTGGGGTGCTCCCTGCAATGAAAACAAAAGAAGTTGTCAACTTAATTGTCATCCCATACAAAGTCAATGTAGCAATAACTCATAAAGCAGAAGGTGAAATATGGGGTCAGATGAGGAGGCTGCAGAGTTACACGCAGGTATTGCTCCTGTAAATTGACAGAGAATGTAAAGGAATTATTACTACAGAGATATTAAACGGGGGAAAAAATGAAAAAAAAGAAGGAAAAGGTAAGGCCGAGGGAAATGTAACGGGTAAAAAACAGCAGTCACCAGTAGGTAACAAAGTAGTAATTGTTCAAAAGATTGCAGACTTTTAACTAGCATCAAAGGGAAGGTAATTTTGCAACAGCACGTGAAGAAACAAGAAAAGCTATTAATTACACGCTGTACCCTTCACATGATCTTGTAACTGCTCACCGCTAGAACCCACACACAAGAACTAATTGGTACCATTGCTCTATCAAAAGTCCGCACCTATCGTTAAAATTATTTATGGTGGGAAAATGACATATGAAGGTTTAGAAGAAGGTGATGCTTTTAAGTAGAGATGAAGATGATCGGTGCAATTTCACCCCCCAACAGATCTCTATCCGCAGCTGCGAGTTATGGAGACCAAAGACTACTTTTTTGCTCAGGACCCTGTTCTTTCAAACTAGTAAGATTAATAGAGCAGTATACAATGTTATACCCGTTGGGTCGCAGGGGCCTGTGAACTAAAATGTACTGATACTAAGCAATGTTCTAAATATCGGCTGCCAGAGACAAAATGGAACAGAAAATTTTCATATCGGATGGTGCATGCCGGGGATATGTCACAGATATTTAATAAATATAGGGGCATCATATTGGATGATATGTACATTGTATATATATATATAGAGAGAAAAATAGATATGCTTGGTAACAAGCACAAATTTTGTACTTGGTAGTGAGGTGTCATATTCTCATCTACTCATTCCAATTCCCAACAACTCCCCAACCCGTGTGAATATGGACTCCGATTTTAATGAGTGGAGGGAAATATGTCATCTCACTACCGAGCACAAAAACTTGTGCTTGATACCAAACATACATCTCTCTCTCTCTCTCTCTCTCTCTCTCTCTCTCTCTGATATAAACTTATAATACAAAGAAAGCATTCACTATCCATACAACATGGCTGTGTTTCACACTGTGAGACTTTTACTGCATATATAGCTTCTGCTTCTAGGAGTAAAGGATTACAGTACACACACAACAAAAACTTAAAAGGAGAGACGAAATTTTCATTTGCACTGGCCGGGGATATTTTCCCAAGGCCCCAAATAAAAAACTTTCTAGTGTTCCCACAATAAGTACAAACTCTACTTCGCCCAAGGAGAGCCAGCCATAACAGATGGATCACTTTCCTTCCTATTCAAAGATCCCCCAGCTACGACACCCTTTCTTTTCCCCCATTCGTTTTGTTTACACATTTACAACCGCGATCCTGTACATGCTCGCAACGTAGTCCATTATCAAACTCCAAAGAGTATCTGCAAAAGTGTATTCTGAGGATATATAGAAAAATCTGCGTAACAAGTGATTCGAGGATATTGGGGAAAAAATTTGAAATTGCAGGCTAGAAGTTTACTCCAAAGTGAAAAATTACATCCTTTAATTAGCAAAGTTACGCATCTCTGCTCCTCCATGTGAAAATATCCAACAGGGGAAGTAAACACCTAGTAAAGAAACAAGATGCTTGAATAATTTCAAGAAATCACCCACAACTAGAAGCATGCCAAGTATATCTAACTAGTAATAAACATAGGAGGATAGGATGTGTGCATAATCTACTTTCATGAAGCTCACATACCCTGAGTAATGAACCAATCGCCAAACAGAACTGGTAGTGTGACACCAACCTCAATATTGTTTTACATAAGCTGTTAATATAGAGTGGTTGACATCAAAGATGCGGCCATGCATAAGATCTTTATCAGCCCTGTTCCTCTTACAGCAACAATCTATTCCGAAGCTGTGAATCGTCATGATTTTGTTGCAAATCATCAAAGTGGCTGCTTCACTGGATAGTTTGACAAAAATTAAAAAACGCCACTTGAGGCTGATGTCGGAAACACATAAGTAACATTGCAAAAGAAACAAAAAAAATTAGGAAGCCTTCAGAAAAGATACAATTAAGCAATCTTCGTATTACTTTTTCATGTTTCACTTTGATTGAACTTCAATCCCAAATTCATCCTAAAGGCAGCCTTGGACAATCTATTATGTGTCAGTAGAAATTTCAACGGACAAATATTTGAAATAGTTACCCACAGAAATAAACTCACCTCGATTTTATTCATAAAAACCAACACAATTTCAGCCACACGTCAGCGTCGTTGGCTGAAACAGGTCCGATTTTTTAAGAAAACATATGTTACTAATTAGACTGGGCTGCCAACCCCGCCTAATTAGTAACAAATATTTGAAATAGTTACCCACAGAAATAAACTCACCTCGATTTTATTCATAAAAACCAACACAATTTCAGTCACTTCAGCGCCGTTGGCTGAATTAGGGTCGGTTTTTATAAGAAAACATATGTTACTAATTAGACTGGGCTGCCAACTCCGCCTAATTAGTAGATCGTAGTTTAAAAAATCCATTGTCGGCAACCACAACTATTTTGGACTTAGTTCAAAAATAGCCAGGTTTGCCAATCATGGCTATTTTGGACGTACTAATCTTTACTAATTAAGCGGGGTTGAGAATCCTAGCTAATTAGAAAATGACATTTTTTTAAATCGACTCAATTTCAGTCTGTGCTGCGGTCATGGCTGAAATTGGAGTCGATTTCTGTAAATAAACTTAGAGATGGTTGATTTTGGTGAATAAGTACTAGAATGCATCTAGTTCAAAAAATTTGTCCAAGCTTCAATATCTAGCCCACGCTCCTACATAAGATGAAATCAAAGACAAGAAAACTTGCCATTGTACACAAAAAGCCCAAACAAAATATCCAAACTTCAAAGCTCGCAGTCAGCAGAACCAACGGGAGAAAACATCTCTTTTACCAAATAAATCAACCCATCTAAGTCTTTTGCTCCTACTTCAATCAAATCCTTGAGAAGCTCTCCCTCCACCACTTCACTTTGAAGCACCAGTATTGCCTCCTTCAATGGCCCCTATATCATTCAAAACAACTATCATCATCACAAAATTACCAAAAGTTACAGTCACGTTCATATATCTCAAAATTTGATAGATTGGCAGATAATCTGTTAGAGATCTAGGACAAATGTCCTAAAACTAGCTACAAGATGAAGGGAATTAAAATCTCTATAAACTCGCTAATTGACTCCTTACTAATCAACCCAGGACTAAATGGACCTTAATATACCACCATGCTTCCACAAAAAAGAATGCCAACAAGACAGGAGCGGATTCACCGTAGAGCAAAGTGACATCACCTGACATCACTTTGCTCTACGAACCCCAAGAATGCTGCTAAAAATCCAACCCAATAACCTATCATTCGAATACACAATAATGTATATGAGGGTGTAACATAATTTGACAGTGCATGCAACGCACTCGAGTCCAATTGCTATTATGTTACTAATAATGTATTCTATCTTAATAATGTGACAATGCACTTAGGATCCAGAAATGACAGTGCATTTGATAGCATTACACGGTGTACCCTTATCAGCATATTGTTAAAAAAATATCAAATCAATTTATAAGCATGCAAATGAATCCGAAATAAAAGAACAAAAAATCTGATATGATCGGGAGCAGTCGTGCAAGCACTGTCCTAGAAGATTGAGGACCCGCCTATCGCCCTGACGCAGATGATCCCCTCTCCCCTAGCGGTAAAAACCCTCGAAATCGGCTGGCCTCTATACTCGAGTGAGAGTAAAGAGTTTCTGCTCAGATGAAGATGGTGCCCAAAAAATAATAACGACAGAAATTCAATAGTGAGTTTTTGAGAGTGAGAGAGAGAAGACAGAAGAGAGCTTTCTGTTTTTTTTTTTTTGTCTTTCTGAATTGGATTAGAGTTGTATATATAGGATTCAGAAGCTCAGCCAAACTCGCCACATTCTCCCAAAAATCTCGAATCCGTTTAAACTTCCCACATCTACTCGCACGTTTTCCGAAACGTGTGCTAATTACCGAGTCAAAAGAAACGAGAAAACGTGTAAAATAGAGTTTGAAAAAAAAAACCGTGTGCGGTGCAGCGTGGCGCGCGCAGCGTGGCGTGCGTGCTCGCGTGTTATGCAAAGCCCAAACAATAGAAAGCCCAAAACACCCCCTTCTTAGGGACCCTCAAAGCCCATAGAGAGGACAAACAATTTAAACTCTCAACTATTCACCAACTTAGTCCATGTGGGGACTATTCATTGAAGGCAAAATTGCCTTTTCTCCTCTACGAGGTCAACAATCCCCCGAAAATGCAATATTTGACTGAAAACTTCAAAATAATAATCAATAAATCATAAAACAAATATAGGTTGGACAACATTTCGTATCGTGAATTCGGGAGAGGTAGCTTTCGGTTTTGAACCTTTCCTTAATGGGTTCATCGTAACCCGAGGGACATAATGAACTAGGCATTGAATAAGACCCCTTGTACCAGGTATTGATGAAAACACAAAATATATCTTCATCTATTAAGCAAAGCGGGTTGAGCGTTAAAAGTCATGCTCACAATAGCTGACTTATGAGAGTTTCTAAGAGTTAGCCCAGCCCCCCCAACCGCGGTCATCACGGTTCCTCTCACATAGGTAAGTCTTCCAAGAATACTACAGCTGGATATCATACCCTCCATAATACATGTGTTGGACTTATTAAAAGTAAAACTCAACCTAACCAGCTGTATCATAAGAGCATCGTCATCATAGAGAATGGGTAGTAGCAGATGCTACCATAATGATATATGAATATATCTAGGTCAATGCTCCACACGAGTGTCACTAGTCTAGCTTGTTTCTATCACATTGAACCTATATTAGAACTACGTCTCCAAATAAAGGTTGGGTTCCCGCTGTCAGTGATCTCATCTATGGGCTTAACCCTATCTCCCTCGATGAATCCAGAACCATATTCCTGAATAGACCCTTAGTCAAAAGGTCAGCAAGTTTCTTTTCAGACTTTACAAATGCTAGAATCACAACTTTGCCTAGCAGGCATGTACAGATTTATATCTTATTTGAATATGCATGTTAAGTTTTTTATTAACATGCACTTGTTTCAGAAGCTCTATGGTGGATCTAGAATCAGAGCAAATAGAAATTGGCGGAGAGGGTTTAGGGATCAAATGAAGTTCAGAGAGTAGATCTTTTAACCATTCTGTTTCTGTGCAAGTGGTACTAAGAGTAATCAATTCAGACTCAATGGTGCTCCTGGCAATTACTGTTTGCTTACAAGATTTTCAGGATACAGCTGTACCACAAAAAATATATATATCCAGGTGTAGACTTTACACTGTTAAAATCCGTGACCCAGTTGGCGTCACTATACCATTTTATTGTATCGGGGTACCCAGTGTAAGTCAAGCAATAGTCAATTGTGCCTTTCAAGTATTTAAATACTCTCTCTAAGGCAATCCAATGATTTTTGCTAGGGTTGCTGGTATACCGACTCAGTCTCCCTACAGCATAAACTATATCGGGTCTAGTCCGGTTGGATATGTACAAGAAAAATCCAATCAGCTGATAGTTCAGCTGGGAGACATGTTCACCTTCATTCTTCTTCAAAGATATGAAAGAGTCATAAGGTGTAGAGATAGGTTTAGAGTTATGAAAATTGAATTTGATCAGCATTTTCTCAATACTATGAGAAAGACTTAAGGATATTCCTCTAGTATCTCTAGTGGTTTTCATTCCAAGTATCATGTCGGCAAGACCTAAGTCTTTCATGTCAAAGTTCTTGGAGAAATAATCATTAACCTTTAGGATTTCTTTAAGAGTTGTTCCAAAGATAAAAATATCATCAACATAGAGACAGAGGATGACATAGTCATTGGTTAACACTTTGAAGTAAACACACTTGTCGTGTTCATTCACAGTGAAACCATATTGTGCAATGACTATCAAATTTGTGGTGCCATTGTTTAGAAACTTGTTTTAAACTATACAAAAATTTAACAAGTTTGCAGACTTTATTTTCCTGACCTTTGGCAATGAAGCCTTCAGGTAGGTTCATATAAATTTCTTCATCTAAATCACCATTCAGAAAAACAGTCTTGACATCCATCTAATGTATGGTCATCTTATGAATAGCAACAAAGGTCAATAATACTCGAATAGTTGAGATTCGGGCTACAGGGGAATATGTATTGAAATAATCTATACCTTTTTGTTGAGTATAGCCTTTAGCTACTAATCTAGCTTTATATTTATCAATAGAACCATCTGCTTTAAGTTTCTTCTTGAATATCCACTTACAACCAACATGTTTACAACCTGAAGGTAAGTCGGTGTATCCAAATATGGTTTTCCATTATAGATTTGATTTTATTATCAATGTTTTCTCTCCAGAAAGGAGATTCAGGGGAATCCATTGCTTCCTTAAAGGAGCTTGGATCACCTCCAACAAGAAATGTAAAGAAGTCTTCTCCAAAATCCGTTTGAATCTTATCTCTTTTACTTCTTCGATGTTCAATATCTAAAGGTTGAGAAGAACTAGAAGATGGTCGATCAGAAGGAAGAGATGATATAGGGTAATCTGTGATTTTGGATTTCAAAGGAAAGATGTTTTCAAAGTAGATTGTTATTGGCCTCTTTATTTTGATGATGTTTAACAAACAATTTACCACTAATGTTGTTTGTCTAGTGTGTGTTTATCTATTTATTGTAGATAAACAACAGGTTGGAGGATGGATGGAATTGAGCTTCAACGATCATATCCAATGGAGGTTGGTGGAATAGTAGATTGAAGCAAATACTTTCAAGTCTAAAAGCACTTCTTAGCTTCATCCGTAAGTTTACCAAGAAGAGCTTATTGAAGATCAAGATTATAGTTTGGGTATATTTAGTTTAGGTTTATATTATGTGTGTTGGTACTTTAAACTCAATCATA